GAGAGAGAGAGAGAGAGCATATAATTAAAATATGACCTAATCTTATTCACCCAGGGGGAAGATGTCTCGTGACCAAGGACGTATCTTCTCAGGGCATTTTCCTAAGTCATCTCATCCACCAACACATTAATTACTCAAACATTTCATGCTCCAAGAAGTCACTTCAAAGAATCTATTCCTCGTGAGACAATTGAGACCACATGCATCGTTGAGCATGCATGATAACATGAAAGAGGCCATGGATCACAATCTTCAAGTCCTACAAGTAATTTGTCCCCTTCCAAGACGACTCTATCATGATCATCATCATCATCATCATCGTAGAGAGAGATAGAGAGGGAACCTAATCTTATTGACCTAGGAGGAAGGGGTCTCTTCCAATTGCACTTTCCTTGGTCATCAAACATTTCATGCTCCCAGAACACACTGGAGCCACATAAATGCAGATAAGATATCATGTTGTCACATGCAAGCATAATTAACTTAACTAGGGTCATCCAACTGACCACATTAACTCAACCTGTTCTTTGGGAGGTGGGCAAGCATTGGGGATTACATGAAAGGCAATGAGGTCACCCACATCCATATGTCTGCCTACTAATTTCCTATCCATGAGATCTATATTTAATATACTTAATCAAAATTAACTAACATAATTAAGGTTCTTATATAATTAACAATATTGTTTTTATCAATTCAACAACAAGCTAACAATAATCATTATCGTTCTGATACTTTATAATTAAATTTATATGAATTTAGATACAATCTTAAACATCTCTTGATGATAAGTAAAGAATATTGATGGAATACTTGCAAGCAAAGTCATTTCCTTTGGCACTTGTAAATTCTTCATTCAATTATCAGATTGCAACTTCTTGTTTCTTTTTAGCCTTCAAGAGTTACATGTTTCTTTTGGACTTCATTTGGAAGCTTCAAGTGCATAAAGATGGCAACGATAGATTAACAAAAAAACAAGACTTTTTACCTAGCTTTTTTTGTTTGAAATCTAATGCATCACTCCATCATCATTGAAGCTGGTGTTTATAATTGAATAAAATATATAATAAAATTAATTAGATTCTGATGATAAATATTGGTTAATAGAAAAAAAAAAATCTATATTATAGTAGGATTCCTTAGGGGATGCTGTTGATGGGAGGAACTCTCCTAATAACTTATCTTAGATTTTCTGCTCTCGTCTATAAATAGATAGGACATTTAAGGACTAGACGAGATATGTTGTAGAGGACGTAGTTGAGAGATTACAGTTTTTCTCTCAACCCCCCTAAACCATTAATAATAGTGGTATTGTAAAAAGATAGGAAGAGAGGAGGAGTATCTAGTTCTCCTTGCAGATCATCGTCATTGTGATATTCGGATATGGAGGACAGTACATTTGCATATCAGACAGAGATCTTTTTTCAAATGACATCGAACGATATGCATCATAAATCTGATCTAATATTATTTAATTTCAATCCTAACATAAAATTTTTTTCGCATTATATGTAGCATATCATATTTTTATACTTACAATTGGCATTAGAGCCTAGGTTCTTGAGATCAAATACATTAGATTTGTTTACGATGCTTCAATGATATATATATTTTGTCGATCTAAATTCCTATCTACTTTGTCTTGTCGTCTGCTTATAGGTGATGTTAGATTCTTTGTAATGCGGTCTTCGATGATAGCGAGGTAGCGACGGTGGCTGTGCAGCACCGTTGTCGATGGCAATTGCACTGACTGCAACAACATCATTGCATGCGGTCGCTATGACAGACTTGCTGCAGTAGGCAACTGCGTCGAGCAACACGAGGATCGCAATTGTAACAATTGTCGTAGGCGAGACTGCCAACTGCGAGTCGTACATTGCAATTGGTCGCACATCGCGGTAGCCGTGTGTAAGAGTTTAGGCAATCGTGCACAAGCGACAGCGCGCACACATGACGACCACGTAGCAGCGACCGCGCGTGAGCAAAGGCCATGTCCAGGTGGTGATGGTGCGTGGGCAGTAGCCGCGTCTAAGCGACAGCCTTGCGTGGGCAGATGTCGTGCCCAAGTAGCGGTCAAACAAGCGATAATCGCTCGTAGGCAATGGTCGCACTAGCGTGCAGAGGCGGTGGCTGCATGTAGGGCGACGAACCTCCGCGGGCAGACGCACCTTAGGGTTTTGATAAAATTACATATTGGACCCTATAATTTTTATTAACTCTGTTTTAATTTTTTTTATAGTTCTACCATTTATAAATCTCATAATTCTAGTTTCTGTCCTATCAATAAATTTACTATTATACCCTTGTGATATTGAGAATTTCTAATTTATATCCTTAATTATAAAATTAATTAATATAATTAAATTAAATTTGATCATGATTATATTTTAACTAGATATTGATTGAATTTAGTTTCTATCAAATTTTAAAATGATTAAATTTTGATCAATTTTTAATTTTTATCGACCTCTTTAATTGGGTTGATATTTAGCTCAATTTTGGGCTTGCCCAAATTAAATAAAATAGATTAGATTAATTTAACATTTTATATGGAAGTAAAAAATGTAAATTACTATTTCTTTTATAGTTTTCTCATATGATTTATTGATTACATGTGGTAAATAAAATTTAATCATTATTTTTAGATATTTATTTGGTTATTCACATATATTTGTTTGAAATTATAAAATAATATTTATCTTTTACATAAAGGCCCTTTATGATTTTATTTCATCATGATTACAGTTATCATATCAGTTTTTCCTTTTGCTAATTAATGTTCAATAATTATTACGGTTGTTATTTTATTATTAAACTATTTCAATATAAATTAGATTAAAAAAATTTGATTAATATTATTTGTAACTCATCTCTCTAAGTTTTCTCTGACCGATAGCCACCAAAGTGGAATGAGATAATAAACTTATGGGATATGATTACAATAAAAATCTTATCATTTATAGGATATTTTAAATAATATTTTATATTATTGTATTAGTCATATAGTCACCAAAGTAGCCTAGATCAATAGCTTATAAAATTATATTAACAAACTAGTCCTAAATGATATTAAGAAAATAATATTCATAATGACACACATAATTAGGGGATTTAGATAATCCCAAAGGAGAATCTACTTCAAATAATTATATGATAGGGTAGGATGATACTGTTTTGGATAGCCTTATAGTTTAGGATTATATACCCCAAAATAGCAATATTATTCTATAATGATGGTATCAGTCCTCCGTATGTGATCTTAAGTAAACACTAGATATGTCAATATTTCACCTAAAGATGAAATATGGATGATACCAATAATTCATCATATTTTGAAAACTCAAAACATTAATGTTATTTTATATTTTACAATGGTACTTCCATCTATATATTCTCATGCTTCCAATGTCCTTATACTATCTGGATCAAATTATTTAGAATGGTTAGAGCATATGCAATTCACACTAGGCATATTAGATCTTGACTTAGCATTGTTTATTAAAAAACCCACAAACTTGATTGA